AAAGGAAAAGGGCACTGATGCGCGCGACCCAAGTCACATTGTGACCTCGGGTCGCAACCGGTTTTTGTACCGAAATGGGACACTTGTTCCATTTTTATTGCACAAGTGTATTTTTTTGTATCTAAAAAAAAATAAAAAAAAATATCAAAATTCGTATTTTGTCATTCTCTACAAATAGAGACCACACTTGATATATTTTAGAACACAATTGCAATTTTTAAATAAATTAAAATAAAATAAATATTTAAGTTGAGTTGGGTTATGAATAAAGATAAATTGGGTTGGAAGATTGAGTTGTGTAGGTAGAGGAGAGAGAAATAATTTTTAATTGTTAAGTTGGGTTGGGTTGGGGATAAAGATAGTCTAATAGAGGTAGTGAAGAGTTCACAACTTTTTTCCCATTCTGATGCTTACGGTTTTTTTTTTAATAAAAAAAAATCTCCTCTTTTATTTGATTTCAAAATACCGATTCAATTATGGAAAATTTCTACTAGCGAAGAAATTATTCTCGGAATCGAAATCTAAAAGGTGGACTTGATTAGAGGGGAGACATTTGGATCCCTTACGGCGAGACATATGGTGATAGCCACATAACCGGGAATTGATTTCCTCTCCCTCATCGCTTAATGAAGAAAATTAAAGGTAATTTTCAAAACTCTATACAAATCAAAAATCGTATTTTTACGTGATTTTAAAAGATGCCGATCATTTTATTCACTATATTTACTTACGGATTAAGTATTTATTTGATAAATTAAAATTATATTGTATAATTTCCGCTGCGATTTTAATCTGTACAGTATAGCGAACCCAACAGTGGTATTAGAGCCACGGGTTGGATCTTTAAAATCAAATTTTGATCAGTTTATGTTTATGTGATAAACATGTATAATTGTTAAATTATGTATTTTGTGTGTGATACAAGTGTTGTATTTGATATTAAATTTGGGATTAATTTTAAATTAAATGTTGATTTAAAAACTGTATATGTATTTTTCTGTAGACAGTTTTTAATACATGCGCTCTTTGGAAAAATGTTGGTATACAGTCTGGGAGGATGAGATTCTCTATGAGTTATTTTCAGATAAAGAGAGTTTGCTTAATCAAAAGTTGATTAATTAATCTAGAAATTGTTTTTAGATTAATTATGG